CGGCGTGTCCCCGCCTCTCCCCTCAGCGCGGAGGTCGCCACTTGGCCGGACCTCCAGCCGCTTGCCGCGCCCGGAGCCAGCGACAGCGCCGGCTGGTGACGGGCAGTTGCGGAGTATGCTGTCGCGTGAGAGGAGAGAGGCTGGCCGAGCCGCGTTTTGCAGCCCGAGGAGCCATCGCCTCCGTCATTTGCTCTCTTCCCCTACGCTTGTCGCGGGTTTTCGCGAGTTGTAGTTCTTTTGCCATCCCCAATACACCCATCTTTGCTGGCTCTTCCTGCCGTGAATGGGGGGGGTCGTTCAGGCGGATCGGCTCCCACCTCCTGGGGCCGCAGGTGTGCGTCTGCCACGTGCCACCCGCGAGCCCTTGGCCCGTGTGGGACGACAGTGGACAGGACTCTGCGAAGCAAACGGAGCGGCCCTGAAAAGTGTCTGGGACCCTGGATCCGGGGTAGGAGCCCTCAGACCCGCAGTCATGCGCCCCTCTTGGCTGCCCCGGCACATGCCCCTCGCCCCCTCATCTTTCAAAGCCCAGGGTGCCTCCTAGCAGCCAAGGAGGTAACAGGACCCAACACTCATTGTATGCCAGGTGCTTCCGCCGCGCCCTCCAACTCCAGGCACAAAGAGGGGGAGACGGGAGGCTTGGAGCAGGACATTGAGCGGATGCCCTGGAGCAGGACAGTAGACATGCAGGACTGCTGTAGACGCGTTCAGAGAAATAAGCCAGCGCCAGGTGTTGGGGACCCAGCGGTGGCCACACAGGCCAGGTCCCTGCCCTCACAGAGCTCTAGGACCAACATGGCAAACAGACAAGAAGGTGTCTGGTTTGATTCCTGATGGTGAGTGTCTGTCCCATCGTGAGGGGCGCAGATAACACGTCTGAGAAAGGCGGGAGTGGGGGCGGGGCGGGTGCTGGCTCTTCTGAATTGGATTGGGCTATCAGGGAGGGAGGTGACTTCAGCTGTGACCTGGAGGCTGAGAGAACCTTCCAGACCTACGTGCTGACTTTCATAATCCTGGGAGCCCGACACCCTGAGCGTATGGACGGACCGGTTCTTGCTCCCGCGACGGGAGGCTGACGTCATTCTTTTTCTGCTTTATAGAGAGCGCCCTGCACGGGCCTGGCAGATAATAGGAGCCTACTTGATAAATGCTCACTCTCGAAATCATTGTGGATCACCCCTCAGATCACTTGTTAGTTGCAAAGGGAGGTAAAGATAGGCTTTCCTGGTGGAGAGGCCCGCGGAGGTTGACCCTTGGCCTGGGAGCACGCTTAGCTCCACTGTGGGCGGAGCTGTGAGTCTCTGCTGTCTCCAGGGAGGCCAAACGCAGCACCCACAGGGCTCCCCAGCAGGGAAATGCAGCCAGTTCGACCGAGGAGTGGAATTTTAAACTTGATTCCTTTGTATTAGAGTCGCGCATGTCAAAAAGCCCCTGCGGCAGCGGCTGCTGTCCCTTGCGGCGCACCTAGCGCTCCCTCTCACGTGGCAGGCACACAGCGCCCCAGCGCGGCTTTGCCACGCCCCAAACGGCTCCTCCGGCCCCTGGACAGCTGCCTGGTCTTCTCGGAAAAAGGACCAGCGGTGGGAGACAGTTCTAAATCTAAACCACGGGAAATAGAGGTGGACCAATGCCACACTGCCTTTCTGGGGACAGCAGGTAACTTGGAAGCTGTGCTGGATTCTGGGGCAAGCCGTGGGTGTGTCTGCCGAGGGCGCTTGGGCGGGAGCCGGCTGGGGCCGGTTGAGAGTCACATGGGGGTGGGAGGTGCTCAGGTGCTGGAAGGGGTGTGAAGGAACCAGACAGAGCCTCAGGCAGAGAGCACGGCAGGAGCAAAGCCACCTGCGTAGACTGGATCTCCGAGGTGGCTGCCGGGCAGGGCCCTCTCCGCACCTGCGGCCCCCTGCGCCCAGCCACCAAGACCCCTGGGCCCAGCCACCCTGGGCAGTGCCTGAGGCCTCTGCGGCCCCAGCCCTGCAGTCTCCCCAGGGGTCTATGGCAGATGGGTGAATGCCACAGAGTCAAGGGCACAGGGCAGGGGAAGAGGCCCCAGAATCCTTGTGAGGTTTTCCTGGCCAAGGCCAGAATTCCTAGGATTGTGACCTGTGTTGCCTCAACAGCCCTTATCTCAGCTTTGCAGACAGGAGGGAGTAACTTTGCAACTTCACCCAGTTACACTGTCAGGTGGGGGGAAGGGAATTGAACCCAGGCTCCAAGGTTGGGGCGCCGGGGTAGGAGACTGACATAGATCCACACAATTCCACCCTCCTGAGGAGCTTGGGCGGGTCCTCGACCTAAGCACACCCCGTTGTGCTGTGCTGGCTTTCTGGTGCTTCACAGGTGTTGTGTGTTTTTTTTGTTTTGTTTTGTTTTTTACCAAGGACGGTAAGACCCCCCCAGCAGCACAAAAGTTAGAGCCCACCTATCTCGAGGTTCACTTTATGGGGGCGCGGATCCTACCCCACAGCATCTCCAAGGTGCGCATTCTAAGCTGCCGGAACTCTGGGATTGTGAATTCCAGGACGTCTGGATTTCTGGGGTTCCGGGAGGTGGAGAAGCTATACCGGGGGTCGGCAAACGGCTTTCTGGGAAAGGCCAGAGAGTCCCACAGTAACAGCAAGGCTGACGTTAACGGCCAGTCGGCCGACCAGCTGGGCGCCAAAGAAACTTTGGACACTGAAATGTGGAAAACATGATTTCCACACTTTGTGGGATAGTTTTCTTTTGATTCTTTTCAACCACTTAAAAATATAAAAACCATTCTGAGCTCTCAGGACACACACACACCCACACCGAGGCAGCGTCTGGACCTGGGCCGTGGGTCAAGAACAGCTTTCGCCAGGAGAAAAATAAGACAAACTACACACATAACTTTCAGCTTCCCAGTAGCCACATTAAAAGAACCAAAAGAGAACAGTTTTGCTAACAGGTTTCCCGTAACTCAGTATCTCAAAAATACGGCCGTTTCAACAGGTGATCGATGTGAAAAGTGACGGAAGGCGTATTTGACATCTTTTTCTGTACCACGTCTTGGAAATCCGGCCTCTTTCCTGCTCACGGCCAGCCCAGTTCCGTCGCTCAAGCATCCTCAAAGAACTCACCTGCACCCAGACAGGTAAGTTCGAACAACTTACGCTGGAGAGGGACACGCTCACGTCCCTCCAGGTTATTCCAAATACACCCAGTCGTTTTCCAAAACTGGGATCCAGGGTCAGCGTTCGTCTTCAACCAGACACTTGTCAAATGTGTCAAACTCCTACTCGTGCTTCAAAACCCCACCTCCCATGCCCCCTCTTATATGCCAGGTCTCCTTGAACCCTTTAGTGGAGCCCCTACTCCCCCTCCAGGTTTAAACACCCCAGGCCCCACTTTCTGTCCAGAAACTCTGTGCCTTGCTCTGTCTTCCCAGAGATGGGCAGGGCCAGAGCTAAGGTGTCCGGGGGGGTCCAGCTTCACCTAGCAAGGGACTGGCTCAGACATCCTGTCAGGGAGCTTTTGGTGAACGGATAGGTGTGTGAATAAATAAACGAATGACCGAGTTACTGCGTAAGTGAACTCATTCATCCTGTTTTTCATTCATTTACTGATTTACCTGCACAAGCGGACATCACCTCTGGAGCGCCACCTGTGTGCCTGGCCTGGCACTTACCGCGGCCCCGGCCCTACCTCCAGGGTATCCACACCTCATCACCGTGCTGTTCCACCCCCTACCCATCCCCCATCGTCCCTCAGCCCAGAATTCAAGGCCCATTTTCATCCGTCTCCAGCCTACCTGACTGATCTCTGCAGGCTCTCAACCAGACGGTCCCTCCAGGTGTTTGCACCTTTTGTTCCGCGGGGAATACTCATCCCTTTCGGACTGGCAGACTCCTACTCAGCCATCGAAGCCCCAGCTCCAATGGCCCCCGCCTCCTCCGAGCGCCTGGTTCCCGTGTCCCTCACGCAGCTGTGGGATTTCCCGGGAGTGGGGCTAGACTGGGAAGCGCTTCTAAGTGGAAGAGAGGGGTCCTCATTCGTGCCTCGAGGGAACTGGGGGGTTCCACCCAACAATTTCCCCTCTTCCATCATCTGGGCAGAAGGGGAAACTGAGACCCAGAAAGGGTGAGAGAGCCACCTGGGGGCTCCCAGCAGGGAGCAGGCGAGTGGAGCCCCTGCCCTCCCTGCCTCAGTGTCCCTGCGGGCCCCCGGGGATGGGGCGCTCCGCCGGGGCGGGGGGTCCGCGGCGGCCTAGGGGGCTCAGGAAGTCGGCGGCCGCAGGA